TAGGGATAAATGAGAAATGTTACTAAAGATAGAAACAAGTGTGACGGTGTAGTCTTACCTTGGTGGGTGTGGCTAGCTGGGCCAGTTTTCTTGCCAGACGACCTGTCGTCATCTTCTCTCTCCTCACACACTAACACACCCAATGACCCGTCATGTGACTTGTGGGTGTGGCCACCACTCTCCGCCTCTGTTGTTGCCGGGAGTGACGGTAGCTAGGGAACCATAGATAGGTATGTAATTAGTGAGCAAATGGAAGAAAAAATTTTTTTCTTACATGGATTATTTCGTCTTTTTCTTTTTCTTCCCAGGCTTAGGGGTGTTGTTGGTAGTCATGGAGACGGACGAAACTCCGCCCCCCTCTCCCTCCTCATCTCCCTCAATAAAGGCTAGGAGTTCATCCAGTGGCCGAGAGTCAGTCTCACTGCAGTTGTGTTGGGGATTGTCTGCAAGAATTGCAAGCACTTGTTTGATACAAATTTTTAACTTTAACTCATGAAATTTGTGAGTTAAAAGAAATTTACGCAATTTGGTATGCTTTGCTAGCAGGCCGATGACTTCTCTGAATTTCAAAAGGTATCTATTGTATCAGCAATAGTGTTTGTGTTATACAGCATTGGCAGAGCTTTTTTTACATGCCTGCCTTTCAAAAAAAGACAGAGCAAACCTGATTTTTTGTCTGAACACACATAACTTGTGTCTAACTGTGCAGTCCACACTCACAGGGTCTGTTTAGTTCCTTCTCTCTCCTCTTCTCCTCCAGTTTATGCCTCATCTTGTCTCTCTGCTTCATGAAGTTGTGACTGGTCGGCAACGGAGGAGGCTGTGCAAAACATACAGGAAAATTTGGACAGATAAAAATGTAAAATTGCAAATGTCAAACTTTCTCTGCAAGTATTTTTGCAGAAGTAAGAATCTGCAAAAGGAAATTTCACGGTTGCTACTGAATGGAAATCTCTCCAACTATACGACATGCTACATGTGTCATACTCACTCTAGTCAAAGCATGTACATATTATAGCAGGGGCAAGGTAACATCATAATGTAGTAAACAATACTCTATTGTTAACCTCTCACCCCATTGTTTCCAAATAGTTCACAGTAGCAGCAGGGACAGTATCGTCTTGACGACCCCTCTCCTCCTCCTCCCCCTGCCCCGGTCGTTGACGATGATGATGATGTCGCGGTGCCGTTAGCAACAATGGTACAGTAGGATGGAGACAAACATCTACATAGTAATCAGGAAGGACATTTGACAATACATTACATAATCAACCTGTTTCTATTGTACACATCATCCGGGCTTTAACATTTAACTGGTGCAACTTCGAGAATGAATAAAAAAGAAGAAAAAAAGCCACTCCACCAGGCATGCGGCCAACATACCCAGTGAAGCGGGGGCACTCAGTATTGTCAAACAGAGAGTGGGTAAGGGGAGGAACCAGAGCTGTTCCCAGCCAGTGCTCTGGACCACCTACCAGCTTCCAGCCCGGGATCGATCTCTCGATCACCGGAACCTTTATACTGGTAGTCCCCACTTCTACTGATTACGCCACATGAGTGACCCGAGAGGAGTAGTTGAAATTTTGCCTTTATACCCACCAGTCAGTGAGGCTGAAAAAATAAAAAGTACTAGCTGACAGGCTTGAACCCAGGTAGCAGGAAAACCTTGTTCCACTTGCAAGAGCTTTAGCCACTAGACCATCAACTCTTGGTGTGCGTGATATGTAGCATCCCTACCAGGCTCGAATGCACTGGCAACCAACATGTCTGAGTTATTACAGTGGAAATACACCTCATAATAAATGACACCACACGAAATGACTTCACAACTGC